GAGGAGATAAATTGGTATAGGTATATTCAACCTGACTGTTTCTTCAATTGACACACACAGGATAAGCTGTTAGGATAAAACCCCAGTGTTCAGTTATAACTGTTCTTACTTTTGATCTGATGACCATAACAAAACATAGCTTTTCAGCAGTAGCCGTCGACTACACAGATACTATTATCCGAACAACTTGACTGTCACTTTTGTCACACGCCTTTACCTGAAAGGAAGGAACGTGTTCAGGGGCATTTTGTGTGCTGGAACCTTGGAACATTTCGAAGCGCAGACTAATACACTAACATTTATGCCACTCCCAGTTCCAATAAATAGATGTTCATGTTGTAGCCAAAGGTCTCAAAAAGCGAGCAAATAGAACGGATTGTTACTATCAGAAAAGCCTTATAGAATTATTTCTAAAATTACGATATAGGTATATAAGTGTAATCGACATCTCAAATATGTAACTATGTTGCTGTACACATGACGCAACCGTAAGCACACGCATTCAAACTTATGTGGGATGAGCACTCTTTTATATAGAACAATCGAATTAAAAAAATAAATTCGCTTCCTTAATGAGTAAAATGTTATAAATTTAAAGGCCAGTCTTAATAATTTCTACAGCATTATTATTTACGAAAATTTCATTGTAGGTGGCAGTGCAATAATTAAAATATATAATTTTATAATATATAGCAAAGCTATAAAATACTATATAGAAAATTTCAAAATATAATGTAAGAGAATAAATAGCCTTAGCGACAAATTGATTTAACTGAACATTTTAATGTTAATATGTTTGTTTCTAATGTTATTAAAGCATTGAGGATATATATAATAATTAAAATCTTCGATAATTTATTGCGTTTATTGTTATCATGAAAGTAGAACATTTCAATTCTTTTTATCTTTTATGAAATTTAATTTAAAAAAAAAGCAAAATCATTTATAATATCTAACATTATTTTAAAAATCACGCATTTTTATTAAGATTCTTGCAACCGAATAACTTCTTAATGGTAAGGAAAGATTAAACTGTGCTTCCATTTCCATTTCTTATACAATACGCGGACGCCTTCTTTAGAAGTAATTAGACAAATAGTCACCGCTGTGTCTTAATAATCATTTTGTCATAATCAACTCGGAAATGTTAGGCTATGCTTTCACTGCTTTTATAGGCAATTTCAACGTCATAGCTTGAAGTGAGCTTTAAAGATTTTCCTTCTATTAGTAACGAAGGAAGAAATATAAATGAAGAAATGGTGTTCAAACAATAAAATTTGCTTGCAAGCATGGTCTCCAATTATATGTGCACGTTTTCTAATCTATGTTTGCCATTGAATGAAAAGCAAGAAAAATGGCATTATTCAGAGGCGAATGAAAGAAAAGAAAAACTTGCTGGATTCAGAACATTAACGGTTTGTGCTGTAAAAACATCATTATGAACCTAGTAAGGAAACTAAAACATCATAAACTTTCTTAGAGTGATAAAGTGATCGTTAGAAGCATACATTAGGAATGAATAACATCGTTATGATGCGCGTTAGTTAGAAAACAAGAGTCTGAAAATAATTGAAGGAGAAAGGAATAAAGTTGTTATTTAAAATTCGTAAAATGTCAAATGTACGGTACGCAATATTGAGTTGTGTTCGATTGTTTGTTTGTTTGTTTGTTTTGGAATTTCGCGCAAAGCTACACGAGGGCTATCTGCGCTAGCCGTCTCCTAATTTAGTAAGTGTAAGACTAGAGGGAAGGCAGCTAGTCATCACCACCACCGCCAACTCTTGGGCTACTCTTTTACCAACGAAT